AAGAAAAAAAAAAAAAAAAAAAACAGGGGAAAAAAAAATCAAATGTCTATCAGTGCTTTGGAATGTTTATTCATGGATCTAACTAATGTTTTGCTTACCTTCATGAGACAGGTGGGGGGAAGGGAGTGTAATAGAGCTAGGTACACCTGACAGATCTGTTGTGTTGGGCTGGCCCTGCCCTGGCCTCCCAACCTGCCTGAGCTACAGGTGCACATAACCACATCTGTCATGTTCAGGTTGGCCCAGGGACTGAAGCCATGTCCCCAGTGCCTTCCAAATGGTGGAGCTACGTGTGCATCACTGTGGCTGGGGTCCAACTGATGTTTTCTGAACATCTCGTATGCCAGGCACTATTGTATAAGCTCTACAGAAACAGCAAAGAAAGCTGTTTCCATGAACTTTATATTCTAGTGGGGGAAATGCACACCTAAACAAATACATATGTAAGTAGGATCTCTTACGAAGAGAAATAAAGCAGGATAAGAAGACAAAGGGTTGGGACCAGCAGATGGTATGTTTACGTCACTGGACTCCCATGTAGTTGACCATGATTCGAGTCCCAGACCCCGTGGCTTAAACTTCACGCTGGGCACATGTGCATGAGTACCCAAAAGCCCAAGAAGAGAATGGAGAAGGGATTCTGGCATGGCTATTCCCCTCTGGGGGGTGATTTCTCGCTTTTTGTCTCTCTGGCGAGCACATGCGCCCTAAGCAAAAATCTCTCGCCAAAAAAAAAAAAAGGAAAGGACAAAGGGTGCTTTGGACATCTGCAGCTGTGTCTACAAAGGTCTCTGTGTGGATGATGAATGAACCAAGCCCTGAATGCGGTGAGCGTGCACCTGGCTGACAGGAGGGTTGCAGGAGGGTGCACCTGGCATGGCATGCCTTACAGGTTGGCTTCTAGATGAGCTGTCTTACCAACCCTGAGACTCACGCCAGATAGTTCTCTCTGGGCCTCAGATTCCCTGATTATAAAATGCTAGAGCTGGACTAGATGCCTTTTAAAGATCCCTACTGCCATGGGGTCGGCAGGTGGTGTGGTGGTTAAGGGAACTGGACTCCCACATGGCCAGCTGCAGTTCAAGTCCCAGACCCAAATGGCTTGCTTTCGCACTTTCCCTCTCTCTCTCTTTCTCTCTGTCCCTCTCTGGTCAAACTGAAATAAAAATAAAAATAAGTTAAATAATTCTTTAAAAAAAAAAAAGTTCACAGTAAAAGTCCCTACTGCCAGGACCAGCAGATGGCTTAATGTTTACGTCATTGGACTCACCTAGTCAACCACGATTTGAGTTCCGGACCCAGAAGCTTAACACACACCGGGCACTTGTGCGTTTGCCCAAAATCCCAAGAAGAGAATGGAGAAGAAGGAATTGTGGCATGGCCACGCCCCTGGGAATGATTTTTCACTTTCTGTCTGTCTCTCCAGCAAGTACACATGCCCTATAGCAAAAATCTCTCTCTTAAAAAAAGGAAAAAAAAAATCCCTACTGCTTCAGTCTGTTCCATTACTCAGGTAGCTTTTACCAAGCCTTAGAACAGACTGACAAAACTTAAGTTTTTATTTTTTCCTCTTTAAAGAGCTTTGAGGTGCCAGCAGGTGGCGTGATGGTTGAGGTGTTGGACTCCCACACAGCTGATCACAGTTTGAGTCCCAGGCCTGGCGGCTCTTTCTCTCTTATGAGCATATGTGCCCTGCAACAAATTTTTAAAATAATATTAAATAAATACAATTAAATAAATAATTCTTTAAAAATCAAAGAGCTTTAGGGACCAGCAGTTACCGTAATGGCTATGTTGCTGGACTCCCAGGTATCCAACTGTGGTTCGAGTCTTGGACCTGGTGGCTTAAACTCACACCGGGCGTGTGTGGGTGCGTGCCCAAGATCCCGAGAGGAGAATGGAGGAGAAGGGATTGTGGAGTAGCCATCCCCCCTCGGGGGTGATTTCTCGCTTTCTGTTTTTCTGTCTCTTTCTGGTGAGTGCACGCACCCTATAGCAAAAACCTGTCCAAAATAAAATAAGTAAATATCAAAGAGCTTTGATTATGAGTTTAGCTGTCATATTACCATAACTCTGAACTGCAGCACTTTGCCACTCACTAGTTGGGCATGTAATTGCTCATTTTGACCACTCTCACCTTCAGTGGGGGTAATGTTAGTACCTAGAGTCACAGTAGGTGGTAAAGGAACTAATTCTTCTGAACCTTAGTTCACTGCCTGTGTGGTAAGGACTCAAACAAAGCGCTGTTGTCCTCATCTATCATGGGGTTATCAGGTAAAACCAACTAGTTGTATTTTATGGTTCTGAATATAGCAACATGGTATTTCATAGATTCATAGAATGTTGGAGCTCAGAGGAACTCTCTCACTCAGGTACTCGGTGCTAGTCATTCGTGCCCATGTCCTGAGTCTGTAACTAATGCTTCATGGCCAGTTACTGCGGAGTCCTGGCATCAGGGATGAATATATAGCGCTGCCCTCTGGAGCTACGTGGGAGGAAGGTCAGTAGGCAGACAGTAGTGATAGGGTGTGTTACTACGGAAGTGACAAGGTCCATTGGTTGCACAGAGATGGATTTACCCTACCAGGATAGAAGGAAAATTAGGGAAGATATCACTGAGAAGATGACACTTAAGCTGAGTCTCAGAGCATAAAAAGTTCATTAATGCATTAAACATTTACATGGCAACTCTCTTAAAAAGACATTTACTAGGTATGGTAATAAGCTATAATTAAATAAAATCATTCTATCCCAGCTCTTGTTAAACAGCAGCCCCAAGGGGCTGGCAGGTGGTGTGGCAGTTAAGGGTGCTGGACTCACATGGCCAACCATGGTTCGAGTCCCAGACCCAGTGGCTTGGTTTCTCACTCTTCCCCCTTTTTTCCCTCTCATTCTCATTCTGTTCCTCTCTGATCAAATTAAATAAAGTCAATAAAATAATTTTTTTGGAAAGGTTTTTGCTATAGGATGCATGTGCTCACCTGAAAGACAGAGTCAGAAAGCGAGAAATCCCCCCCCCCCCCGGGGGGGGGGATGGCCATACCACAATCCCTTCTCCTCCATTCTCCTCTAGGGATCTTGGGCACACATGCACATGTGGGCCTGGGACTCAAGCCACGGTTGACTACATGGGAGTCCAGCGACATAGCCATTACACCAACTGCTGGTTCCAATAAAATAACTTTTAAAAAAGGGGGGGGGGCAGCAGCCCTAAAAGTGGACGTGTTTGTTCCATGTGATCCTACCTCCTGATTGACCCATTTAG